ACAGTGCACCCTGGGCAATTCGGCAAACGGGCCTTCTTTTTTGAGCTCACGCTCGCCTATTTGAGTGTTAGCAAGGTGTTCACAAAAACGTCTCAGGATAGAAAAAAAGAATTTACCCTCCGGGAGCAACCTCCTGCCACTTCCCAACTTTGTCTTCCACTTTCCAGAACAAGTAACGTTAACCCCTGCTTTGTCCGCACCATTTCGGGTGACCCAATCCTTGAAAATGTCCTCCTTTCAATCACCGCGTCCCGTAAGGCACGCCATTTGAATCCACGACGAAACCCGGCTTTGTTGACACGCTTGCCGCCCAAAATACTCTTGTCCTGTTCAGGCTCGGCCTCCGGCTCCTCCGGCGTGTAACGCTCGGCCTTTCCAATGACATTTCCGTCGCGGACAACATCACCGTCAGCGTCGACCTTGCTGTTTTGAAGCTTCTTCGCGTCGCCCTCAATCAGGCGTCCAACAATCTCGCCGTTGTTGGTCACGTCACCGTTGGCCTGGACCACGGCGTCGGGGAAGTTCTCGAAGGGCTGGTCCTTCTTCTCGTGGCGTTCGTGTTCCGGAATCAGCTCAGCTCGTCCGATAACCTCACCCGATTCGGAAAGAACCTCGCCCTTCTTATTGCACATTCGGTTGATCAATTTGGCGACGTCTCCTTCGACGACGCGTCCAAAAGCGGTGCCGTGAGAATCAACGACCAGGCCGGCCTTGTTGACACGCTTCTCAGCAAGTAGAGAGTTGTCGACCTCCGGAGCAGCCTCCTCCTCTTCAGGCTCCCAACGCTCAGCGCGTCCGAGTACGTTCCCCTGCCTGTCTTGTACCTCGCCGTCCTCGTCGATTTTCTTCCCCTTCAATTTCTTAGCGTCGCCCTCGACCAGTACACCAATCTTCTCTCCCTCAAAGGTGACGTCACCGTTGGACTGAACAACAGCATCAGGGAAGTCCTCAAAGGGCGAAGGTTCCTTGAACTCCTCACGTTCCTTGTCGGCCAGAGGCTCGGCGAGGCCAATCTGCTCACCCGAGTCGTTCCAGATACGTCCTTCAGCATCAGCCTTGCGGCCGATCAAGTTTTTGAGGGTGCCCTCGACGATACGGCCAATGACGGCATCATCTTTGACCAGATTACCGGCCTTGTTGACCTTGGCGCCCTTAAGGGCAGCCAGTGCCTCGGCCTGCTTTTGCAGATCCTCAGCAATTTCCGACTTGAGCTCAACGCGACCGATTTCGCTGCCGTCATCGTTGAGAATGGCCCCATCGGGAGCTATCTCCTTGTTGGCGAGCTCGAGCGGATCGCCTTCAACGACCTTGCCGATGGACTGGTTGTCGAAGATAACCTTGCCTTCGTCGTCAAGCTGAGCACCCTCGAACTTTTGGAAGGGGTTCTCCACCTGGACATCGGCGACCGTCTCCATCTCGTCGAGCTGGCTCTGGGCCTGCTCGCTGAGACCCTTGGGGGCCTCGGAGGCGGCGTCCTTGGCATCCTCGGCAGTCTCCTCCGCGGAGTCCTTGACGCCTTCGGCAGCGGCCTTGGTATCCTCGACCTTGTCGTCAGACGCAGTCTTGTCGGCGCTGTCCTTGGCGTCGGAAGTGGTCTGCTCTGCAGTGTCGAGAGCGTCGTCCGCTGTGTCGTCGAGGCCCTTGGCAGAATCAGTGTCCTTGGGCACGTCCTTGGTTGTGTCATCGACGGTGGTCTGTGCAGTTTCGGCGGTCTCTTCTGCCGTGTCCTTGACATCGTCTGCCGTCTTTTCGACAGCGTCGGTCTTCTTGGACGTGGTGTCTTCAGCAGCGTCAGTAGCCTTGGAAGTGGTGTCCTCAGCGGCATCAGCCGCCTTGGATGTGGTATCCTCAGCAGCGTCGGTAGCCTTGGACGTGGTGTCCTCAGCGGCGTCGGTGGCCTTAGAAGTGGTGTCCTCAGCGGCATCAGTGGCCTTGGCGGTGGTGTCCTCGGTCGTGTCGTTGGCCTTGGACGTCGTATCTTCTACGGTATCAGTGGCCTTAGACGTTGTGTCCTCCACGGCGTCAGTGGCCTTTGATGTGGTGTCTTCCGCAGTGTCGGTCGTCTTCTGAGTAGTGTCTTCGACAGTGTCCTTGGCCCCGGGACGCGGTGCTCTCAACGGCATCCTTGGCGCCACCAACAGCACCAGACACGGTATCGGTCAGGCCCTTGCCGGACTGCTTGACAGTCTCGTTGTCATCGGTGCTGGCTTCAGTGGTGGCTTCGGTAGCCTCGTCCTTGGACTCGCTGGCCTCGCTCTGTGGTGGTTGGCTCTTGGTCTCGACCTCGGTCTTTGCGTTGTCAACAGCCTCCTGATCCTTAAGATCAATCGGCGCCGCCTCGGCAGCCTTGTCTGAGTTGTCGAAGAGCTCCTTCTTGGCCTGCTCAGTGGTCGCCGCCTTGTCCTCGGCGCTGCGATCTTCCTGCTTCTTCCCGAGGAGGCCGCCGAAGCCGCCGCCGCCGTTGCCGAGACCGAGACCCTTTGTGAGGTTTCCGACGAGAGGAAGGCCCTTCTCGACCGTCTGGACGGTGCCATCGACTGTGTCGACGACACCCTTGACACCCTTTGTTGCGCCCATCAAGGTGCCGAAAATGCCCTTCTTGGAGCCGCCTGCGGAGGCATTGTCGAGCGGGAGAGCCTTGCCTACGATACCGCCGTCTTTTCCTACTATGTCTCCCGTTGCTGTGACGACATTTCCGACTTGAGAGCGTTAGTCGAAGCCTGTTTGGATCTGATAAGATGGGTCGGGACGTACCAAGGTCGCCTGGGTCGCCCTCTGTGATCTTTCCTACGGTCTCGCCCTGCTCATTGACGATTTCTCCTGACTTTCCTACGACGCCTGCTGCGAGGTTGCTTTCTGAGATCTCATTCTGTCCAACTGGAGGTGGGTTAGCAAGATAACACGCGAAAGTGACTGTAGTTGTGGCTGAACATTGAGGCGGTATAGCCTCACGAGGTTGGATTACAGGTGTGGCTTCGAGGTGAGACATGGTGGCTGTGCTTGCGGGGGACGTTGCATCGGGATGAGCTTACCACTCTGCTTGGTGTCCTCCGCCTTCTTCGTAGTAGTGTCGCCCATGATGATTGGATCGTGGTTCGGCTTATGGGTATCTTGGAATAGGTAGTTGAGGGAATGGGTATCAGGTGATGTTGTACAAGGTGATTATTGTTCAAGTATTTGGTTTTGGGGGTTTTTCAGTTCGTGAAAACTGCTGTGATATTAAGAGAAGGCCACACACCATCTCAGCGGCATGCTCTGTCGAGGTCTTATACCAACTGCCAAATGGTGCTGTCCGCGCCTGGAATCAGGTTTCGAAGCCCCCCCCCCCCCTGGGCACCAGCAGGAAAGCTACGTCAAGCCAGCAACGGCACCAGGAAGGTGAGCTCCTCGTCCACCCCCCTCCCCTCCCCTTCCCCTCCTTTGATGCTAATGCCAGGCAGTCAACTCCCAAGCCTGGCAGAGGAGCGCCGCTTTCGAGACCCTGGCACTCGCCACAGCCCATGACTTCATGTGGAAGGCGCTACGCTTACATGACGCAAAGCCACACATCAACCAACAGAACAGCCTCACCGAGAGGACGGCGCGCACTTTGGATGACGCAACTTGGCTTCTGCCAGGTGAAAGTGGGATGGGGCTTGATAGGAAGGTGAATGGTGCGACAGCATCTAGGAAAGCAACCAGCCCCTGTTGGGGGAATCATTGGCTCGTGAAGGGATCGACACGAGCGGGAGGGGGGCGTGAACATCAACATGGGGCGGAGGGGAGGGGTGTCTCTCCTCTCTCTGCTGCTGCCCACTTGTTTTTTCGAGGTGTGGCTGGAGACCTCCAGGTTTTTCTCCAAGGGGTGTCCTGGACGGTCCCGTCAACCATTCGTCAGAGTCGGTCGAGAACGTCTGGTCTGCCAAGTCTCTGTCTGCTGCCTCACCTTTCAAACTTCCGACCCTCCCAGTGCATCGTGGCCCATCGAGATCGGTGGGTGGAGGCATTTCGGCTCTTCCACGTCATGGGCGCGAAAAGGTCAAACGCCACATGCAGTCGATCCCTGGAGAACGCGCATACTGCGTGCCGCATGGCCCGCATGTGTTCAGCTTGGAGCTCTTTGACAGAAAACACAGGAGCTGATCACCGAGTGCTGCCTCCGGTGTGTACATGGCGTTTTCACATTGCGAATTCACATTCTGACACCCAGCGTACACATGCTCGACACAAGTCCGGTTTTCTGGGTCAAAACTGGGGTCGCCAACGGCGCCCGCCAAACCATGTGCTCTTTCATGAGTAGCGGCGGAGCTAACACAGCGCGCTTGCAGGATACGGGATTCTCTAGCCTCCCACGTTTCTTTCCTGGCGTTTTGGCCTCGCAACCGAAATCCAGCGCAAACCCGCCACACCAGCGTGTGCGCCAAGCCCGTCGCTCATTGCTGTCTGCGATCATCCTATGTGTTTGTTTGCCTACGAACAATCCAGAACGCCTACGCTACTTTCGTAATTCCCATACCCAAATGCACCTATTCCCGCCGAGTTGCACTGAGCCATGCCAATTCGCAGAACGCCTCCTAAGCTTCCCGTATCTCACGAACTCGTACCAATATGAATGTTTGGCGTGCCCCCGCCATTAAACACAGTCGGAATCTTGATGATCAGCTGCACGCCGTCGTTCGTCGACTTGACATCGAGGTAGATCTCCGACGGACTCGGCGCCGCCGAAGGCTTCGCTCGGCCGTGACCACAGTTGCAGCCACAGCCACCTCCGCCACTTCCGCCGCCGCTGCCACCGCCACCGCCATTGCGCGCCCTCCGGATCGGCTCCGGCGCGTCGACCAGCTCCTCCGCGTTCAAGTGTCCCACAATCTTGTTATGCCTATTGAGTATGTTCCCCATGTGGTCAAGCTTCATCCCTTCGCCCATGCCGTGGATGGGCTTTGGCGACGGCGGCCGCGGCGCAATTGTATCGTTCTCGGCCACGTAGCCTACAACCTGGCCCTCGGCCGATATGACCTCCCCCGTCGCCGACACGGGCCTGCCGATCATGGAAGGGAGGTCGCCCTCAACGCGGCCTAGAACGCGGCCGTCCCATTCGAGTACGTTGCCGAATTCGTCGATATATTTGTCTTCGAGATTTTCGGCCAGCTCAGCCAAGTTGGGCGGCAGCGTGAGGCCTGAGGCAAGGGGCGTGACTTTGGGGATCTGAATCGTCGGATTCTCATCGTCGTCTGACTTGTTCTTGAGTGTGGAGCGCGTCACCGGTGTTGGCGAGTGCTGGGGAGGCTGGTGATGGTCGTAGTAATGGGCGCGGTTGCCAATGCTCTCTGTTGAGGACGACGACACTGACGAGGCATCATCATCGTCATCTTCGTCTGTAGTGATGGAGTGACGCCTGGCCTCCTGTTTGCGAATAGGGATCGGGATTTCGCGGGATGTGTTGATGTGGGATGGGCCTCCTTCGTCCTGACTGGCCTGAGAGGTACTTTGCGATTGGCTGTGGTCCTGTGATGTTGCCTTCGGGCGGGTATTGTTCTGTGCGCCTCCTTGAGACGACCTTTGCTGAGACGCAGAGGCTACGTCTGGCTGAGCTGGGCGGCTTGGTTGCTGTTCAGGCTGCGGCCTTGAGGCTTCAGCATGATCTTGCGTATCTGTCTCGCTCCCGACGAATGACGACGAGGCTCTCGACTGGGAGTTCAACCTGGGCAGCTTTGGTCGCGCAGCCTGCTCAGGCTTGGGCGTGCTCTGGTCATCGCGCCCTGCATCTTCCTCTGAGTCGTTGACGTCGACGACTTCATACCCATCGCTCTTGGCTGTCGTATCTGCCTCGATGCCAGTGCGAGAGGGGTCGCGGCGCGCCTCGCTGTCGGCGCGGGACCGCGCCGTGTGCATGGATTCAGACTCGGACTCGGAGCCGTCGCGGCCTGCAGGAGCGGGTGTCTGCATGGATGAGTCTGTTCTTTGGGGGACTGGGGATCGATAGTGGAAGAGGAAAAGGGGCAACGGGAATGCGATCTTCCCGAAATCGATGTGTCGGGGTGCAGCAGGAGTGCGCGTTGCGTCAGGAACACGATACTGTGGGCTGATGAAAGGAAAGCTCCTTTGAGAGACTTGATCGTTTGGTGTAAGGGTAGGGGTACGCAGCAGTCTGTGATCGACAGAGACTGATGTCTTTTGCCCTACGTGGTTCACCCACCACACTCCGATGGCAGGTGGATATCCTGGTGGATACCTAACCGCTTGTGCAAGGGATCAGGGGTGGTGGGTGATGGAGCAAGATGGAGGTCCGTGACGTAGCAGTCCGTATGGATGGTCTTGGCCTTGGTCTGATCCTCGCATCTCGAACCCAAACATCGGGTCTCGAGCAGGGATGAACAGAACAGTACAGAAAGAGGAGCTTCAGAGCTGGGGGCGCACAACAGAGAGGCAGCATCGGACGAATTCTCCATTGACAACAGTCTGGGGGCGTGCGAGAGCAGTAGTTGGACCGCCACAATGGCGAAAGCATGCTGTCATTCGCAGCTCAGTTGACACATCAGCAACTGCTGACCTTCCCAAATGATGTTACCCAGGCTCAACT